GGATCGAGTCCCGCATCGGGCTCCCTGCTCGGCAGGGAGTCTGCTTCTCCCTCTGACCCTCCTCCCTCTTGTGCTCTCTGTCTCTCATTCTCTCTGTCTCAAATAAATAAATAAAAAATAAAATCTTTAAAAAAAAAAAAAGAAACAGGGGAGATATTCCACATTTTGTGCCCATTCAGATTCTTTTAACTCTTCTTGTATTTATTTTCCACATTGTGCTTCCCTAAGGTAGAAAACAGTGCTTGGTTTCCACGTCTCCCTCACTGCTAGATCCCAGGCCACCGAGCACCATGAGCTAGATACTCCTTCCTGAGGTTTGATGTGAAAGAGGCTGTGCGTGGAGCCTGTTTCCTGGGAAGGAAATAGAGCATCCGGTGCGGGGGGACACCCCATGCTCAGAGACGGTACAAACAGAAGTTCCTTGCTCAGTGTCCTTGCTTCTTACATACGTGTCCACTGTAAGCTGGATGTGGCCTGGGGGCAGGTCAGTGACGTGATTTTGGTATTGTTCTTGCCTGCTTTGCCTTCCGCTAGATGCTCTGTCTTTCCCAGAGATTCTGTGAACTGTCCAGTGCGCTCTGTTGGTTATAGCTTGGACCACCGTCTGAGGCAGGGGCATTGCAGGGAGAGGTAATAATCAGCAAACTTAGGAGGGGATGAACGTGAAACACTTGGAAAACTAGCTGTGAGCAGTAATTAGGTGTCATTGGAGTGGAAAGTGAGAGAAACTACTGGAAATATTGACAGTTTGTATCCACTGCTAAATATTTAGGAACTTTAGAAGTGTTGGTCCAATGAAAAGACATGGAGGAGGAAGTCATGATCATCTATTTGAGCAGGCTCATGTTGCGTTCAGGATTCCAGGATTCCAAACCTCCTAAGTCACCCCCTCACGGGCGCCATGACTTAGGCATTATAATTTAATAGAATATTTATTTATGTATGTATCGTAGGGTCCTCTCACACCTACCATCTTCTCCAGATCCAGAAAAAATTGAACAAGACTTTGCTCTCTGCCATGCGGAAGGACAAGTCTCAATCTAAATTTCTGCCCATTTCTGTGGGAAGGAGACGTGTTATTAGGGTTATTTCTGGCCTAGCATCAACCCAAATATGGGACTTAGAATTTTCTCCTTGACTCCCTTTAATCCGACCACAAATACCAGCCTGGGGCTCGTAGGAAAATTTGTAAGCAGGTCGTGGGAAGAGGACTTTATCAGGCATTCATTACATACCACACAGTGGAAAACCATTTGTCCAACAGCCCCGTTCTCCTGAGCTCTTTGGGCCACCAGGGCGCACTACCGGACTTTTGCCAGCTTTCTGCTTTCTTAACGTCTCCTTTGCCTTATCTTTTATTTTCCCTCATCCCCTGCCCGCCCACCACTCCCTCCAAAGACAATAAAATCAAAGCAACATAAATAAACAGGTTATTCTATTTCATGGGAAATAATTTAGCTTCCTGTTTTTTTTTTTTTTTTTTGAGGTACAATTTCCAAATTTCATCTTTCGCTCTTTCTAATGGATCAACATCTTTTCATAAAGGAGCACAGTCCTCTTCTGACGACTCCTGGTGCTAGCTGTTAGGAACTCTGTAAGCATGGCCCCTGCCACACGTGCGTGGGCTCCGACAAATGCTAAGCACGCTAGCCTGGTGCGCCGTCTGACATTAAAAGCTGCTTACGAACGTGCTTGAGAAGGTGCACTTTTCATGCAGCCTCATGCTAAGAAGACAAATGAATCCGCACCATTCCAGTTCGTCTCTTCAGAAACTCCCCTGATGTCACTTTCATTTAGTGCTTATTTGTAGCTGCCCTTCATTGGTGTTGCAAATTGGGATATTCTGTTTTCTGGGGAAATTAGTAGAGCATGTTTTTTTCACGGATACTGACGTAGTAACTGAAGTTGTGTTTATGCATTGACAAATATGTATTTTATACCTACTGTGTGCTATGCCTTGGGGGAATGGATGAATGAGTTGACAGCAGGTGTGGACACCAGGGCGCAGCATGGAGCAAGCCCAAAGCTAGGGCTGGACCGGGGGTGGGGGGTGGTTGGCATTTTTAATTAGTAGCTCTTGAATGGACTGTAACAAAGTGGTTCTCCTGAGGGTCCTTTACAGCCTTCAAATGTGGTCATTGTATACATTTAACCAGCTGATGTAGCTTCAAAAGTGGTTTTGCCTGATACATTCAGGAAATTCTGCACTAGATGGTCATCTTGCTTGCTTGATAATTGAGTTCTTCATGGAACTAAATGTTTTAAATGTTTTTTTAACTTAATTTAAACATAAATGTGTTAAAATCACATTACCTAGCTTTATAGCATTTCCTCAGATTGGAGACCAGATAGGGTATCCCTTTGTACTGATGGCAGATTTAACATTTTGGTTTTGGCAGAATTATTCCATGAGAAATACAGAAATTTAACTATATGATACTAATACAGAAAGAAAACAACACAAAAAGAAGAAATTAAACTATGAGAAATATAACTTTTTACCTTCTCATCACTTATCCACTCTGAGAATTAAATGAAAGAGATCTTTAGAAGAATGGGTAAAAACCAAGCCAGAACCCTGGTTTGGGTTATTTAATTACCTTAAGACAATTTCTCTAGCTAAACAAATCATTCCACAGCTAGGTACAATTACACGGAATAACGTCTCCTGCGATCAGAAAATTTGTCAGGTCATCTTGTTTTGTTTTTTAGCCGCACTTCTTCCGGGGAGATGGACAACGTCATGAAATCAGCCATCCTTCAGCCTTTTTTTTTTTTTAGTGGGGGAGAGGGGTGGAGGGAGAGGGAGGGAGAGTATCAAGCAGACTCCCCCCAGAACGGAGCCCGGCGTGGGGCTCAATCTCACGACCCTGACATCACGACCTGAGCTGAAATCAAGAGTCGGTCGCCCAACCGACTGAGCACCCGGGCGCCCCCAGCCTTCGTTCTGACCTGCTCTTTACTTAACACACACGCTAGGGACTGTTAACGAGGAAAGATACTGTCTTTCTGCTTCCACTTAATTAAATTGATTCGATTCAATTCATTCATTCAACAAATATTTATTAAGCACCTACAATACGCCAGGCACTGTGCTGGGTGCTGGGGATACAACTGTGAACGGGAGAGACATCCTGCCCTCAAGGAGCTTACAGTCTGACGTTATACAGACAAGCACACAGGCAAGTACAGTGCGGTACACGGCAGACGCCCTGATGGGGACAAAACACGGAAAGGGCCTCTGACCCGGTCCCGGGGGCAGCGGGCGGGCGGGTTGGCGTGGAGGCCTTCCTGGGGCAGGTACGGTTCCATCTGGTGCTGAAGGATGAGTCCACGTTAGTCGGGGAAAGAGACCGGGGAAAGTGACAGCCCAAGAGAGTAGATGCCGCGTCCCGTGTGCGGGCGGGGGAGGCTGGGCCCGGGACGCAGGTCACGGGAGGGAGCAGTAGGGACCAGGTCACGGAGGGACTCACTTGCTCTGCTTCAGAGCTTGGGCCTTTTCCTGAGGGGACCGTGCGTGGGTCACGGGACCTGCGCTTTTAGAGGTGGCTCTTTACTGTAGCGCAGAGATCGCGGGGGGATGGAAATCTCCAGATGGAAGCAAGCGGCTGGGTCCTTCACCTTCTCCAGCTTTATCTTCCTGGACACGCACCGCGCGGGACCCCGGCTCGCCCCGAAGGCGCTCCACGGCTTCTCCACCTGTGGAAGCGGAGCTCGTCCTTCAAGGCCACACTTCCAAGATCATCCTAACCTGTGCTTTCTGCCAAGATCTCTACGTCGTGTGATGGCTAGCTGTACTCTGGTACTCATTTATTATTTCAAAGGATCCAAACCTTCCTTTGAGCCACGTTAATTTAATCCATACATAACAGAAGGTGGGTTTGGGAAATAAACACGGGTATAATTTTCTTCACCATTTCCAGTTGAAAAAACAAGGACAAATTCTTCTTCTTCTTCTTCTTTTTTTTGTCTACCACAAATTACTATTCGTGCCTTCAAGTGATTTAAACGGAACAAGGGGAATGGGGGCGGGGAGAAACCCAAGAGACACATTATTTTATGCAGCAAAATACAGTCAAGTAAAATTTCAACACGCGATTACAGGTATGTTGCTGTTAATGACAACAGATCGTTCCCCAATTCAAACACGTCATCTGTGACGATTTCACCTGCTCACAGGCAAACACCTGTAAAAGTGGGTAAGCTTATTATGCAGAAATAAGAGCTATAATATGGCCCATACTTGACTTCTATAATCCCTCCTACATAGTCTTGTAATTTCTCAAATAACTTTTATTAATGATAAAAACAAACTTTAAGCTCTGTAGATATTGTAAGAACGTCCGCAGTTTTATTCTTTTGGTGGGTACAAAAACCACAATTTTGTACACAGAACAAGATTATAAATAAGATCGATACCATGAGTGACCCGTAGTCTCTTTTGATTCTACATTGCAGACTGATGATTTCACGGTAACGCTGTCTTCGTTTGTGTTTGTGTTCCGGTAGTGAGACAAACGCGATCTGGGGACACCGACTATGTGACAGAGCGTAGGTTACTGCAACAAGGAGATGACCGACTTTTATAAAAAAAAAAAGTCTCTAAAGTTTATTACAGTGATGGCATATCAATTATTGCAATGTATTTTTCCCTAAGATGGTTAGAAAAAAGAATTGTGTTGTCCTCTACTGAATTTACGTCAGTTAAAAAGCAAGCATGTTTCAGTATTTGTTTTCTCCAAAGTAAGTGTAAATACATCCTTTAAATTTTTTCACAGGATTTACATGAGTGTTGATTATTTTCTGATCACAGTTTCGTGCTGTGTTTTCTCGGCTGGAGTCTCCCACGGACCACGTGGGTGTTCTGGAGACGCACGTTAGCATGTTCACTGACTTCTCTAACTAGTTTATCCCTTGCGGTGAAGACAGGCCTTTCTGAGCAAGAACTTCACAGTTTGATGCGCTAACTCGCAAGTCTGATTAGTTTTTAAGTCCACTCGAGTGAAATCTGTTGCTGTTAATACGCCCATCCCAGCTCCCTCCCCACCCTCCCGCTCCCCGAAAAAACCTAAATTGTGAGTTTTCCTGATAGAAAATCTGAGTTTGGGTTTCCGAGCTGAGCTCATGCACGCGTTGCTGCTGCGGAACGGGGAGCATCAGGACGCACAGCCCGCTCTGGCCAGAGGCCTGGTCCAGGGCACCTGCTCGGCGCGCCCCGGGCCGCGCTCCCGTCGGTCACCAACACAGTTTGATTAAGGCACTCGATTATGTTTTTGGTTTTTATGGTAGGTCCGATGCAATGACAGCCAATCCTGAACTTTGTCTAATTGTAGTTCCCGTGTGTACAGCCTTGGGGCAGTCGGGCGTCAGAACGCGGCCGTTCTCACCTACACTCCCAGTGATGGATAATCTGGCTTTGTTTCTTATGGCTTCAGAAAAGGTCAGCTGGGTGCATGGAAAGGAAACAGAAAGAGTGTGGACTGTTACAATGTTTCTGCTTCTCCGACAAAAGGCGACACAACAAACACCAAGATATCAATAATTAGACATCTGCATTTTTTCCAATATTCTTTTGGTCGTGTGAAAACTGCGCATTATGGGAAAGGGAAGCTCAACTATAGTGAAGAATAAATCAGACGGGAGTTTGTGGTCCTACCTGTTTCAGAACTAATTTGGAAATCGTCACCCTAGGTTTTGTTCGGCAAGTCTGGGCGGGACACAGCCTTCGCCTTGCGGTCCTTTACACCCTGGCACTTCTGGGCCAGCTTAAAATTCTCCTCTAGGTGGACAGTGTTTCTAATTGAGCCTCTTGCTCTTGCCAGGAAATGTCTTTACAGCGCGGGCGTTATCCTCAAAACTGTGATGAGCTGTCTAAACAAACTGCGGACTATTCACGACAGATCTTCCGGCCTTCGGAACACAGATCTATCCACAGACACCTTCATTCATTCACACCAGGGGTAGACATGACCCAGAACAGCACAGTTAGTGACCGGCCTACTCTGGAAGCTGACTGATGTTTTCGGAGGCTCTAAGTGTTTCAAGGGGGGGTGCACTGAAAGGGAGTATGTTTCAATTCCTCACTGCTGGGGAACCTCCCAGACTGAGATGTTAAGGGGTCAGGTCTCCGAAATCCTCATTAAATTCCTGTTCTCTGTCAGGTTAAGTCAGGAGCAGATAACAGTATTACACAGAAGAGAGACAGGCAGTGTTTTTATGTAAATCTAATTACTGCTGGTTCATTTGCCTTCACATTTTTTTCTAGTAACTGAATTTTAATGTTAACTCAAGAGGAAAATAAGGCAAACGAGATACTGCCTAAGTCTGCTATGGCATAGATCATTTATTTCTCGTAACTCAAAATATATCTTAATTCCCTGTGGCGAATTTAGGTTTACCTAATTCTTTAGGAATTCCATCCCTATATTTACTCTGCTCTGGAACTTAAGTATTAGAGTCATGATATATTAAATAATGAAATTAGTGATAGGAGTAGAAAATGGTATAATGTAAAGGTTTAGAGATCAGATACCCTGATAAAGTCAAACTGCTAGTTAATGACTTATCTATGATAAAAACCAAGGTCATTATCATAGTTTTTCTTTAGTGAATAGTCTCAAAAAAATTAGAAATCAGGATGCAATCTCTACAGAACTACTCATCACTAAATTAAATGAACCAGAACCAAAGTTTGAATTTGTTTCCTCAGATTCACTTTCAACATTTAATATTAAATAAAATAATTATTTTTTAAAACCTACTGGTTTTGTTTTGTTTTTTTTGTTTTGAAGAAGAAATACAATTAACAAAAGCATTATAATTTTTGGAAGGGATTTTTTTTCAGAAGGCTCTTGCTATAAAATTTGTGTTTCCTTTCTTTTCTTGATTGCCTTTGCGAAGAAAGGAAAATACCCCAAACAGGAACCATGTGCTCTCAAGTAATCTTTCCTTCTCTGTAGATGAATGCAACCGAGTGTAATAGTTAATAAATCTTTGACAGCTCCTATTTTCTCTTAAAATCTTAGCATTATTATTTCTTATACTTCTATCTCCTGCTTCTTCCTTAAAATATCATTTCTATTCAGCTTTGCTGTGAACCCACTGAGGCTGCTCAAATTCTTATAAATTTACACATGGTCTGGGTCTGTTTAGATTGTTGAGGCTAAAGGCTAGGACTATACCTGTTCCCGTGAGGGATAATCATTTTTAGAGTAAATATTCTCTATATTGAAGGTTTCAGGTTTTGTTTTCAGCATTCTAGGACAGTATTATTTAGATTATCAAAAATTTGGGTAATTGTGGCCAACAGAGTTTTTGAAAGGAAAAAGCCGTCTTGTATGAGAGTACAGTAACAGTTGTCAAGTCTTCTTAGGTGCAAATCATTTCATTTACCCTGAATGCCATTAAGTCTTTTTAAAAGTCATGGACAGGAATGCTTTGTATTTTATTTGAAATTTATTGTCTTAGAAGTTTAACCCCAACTGTAGAGGCAATTCATGTGATACGTTGTAATGCCAGGTTCGGACTCCAAAAACATTATTACATGTGAACTGTATGTACATAACCTGGGAATTTATATCTCTTTAGCAACTTCCCAGATTGTGGTAATTAACTGGCATCCATGAGTGTTTGTTTCTAGAATTTTCTAATATTCTTTTTCTTTTCTTTGCAACCTTACCCTTGGACCTTGCTGATGATTGGAATGCTTTTGCTTTGCCAAAGAAAAATCAGTTTTAATGACTTGTAAGAAAAAACAAAAACAAAAAAACAAAAAAACCCCAAACCAAACCAAAACAAAAAAGCCCCCCTTTTTAAGACATAAAATTCATTCCAGAATAAAATCCAAATAACTGAATCTGAAAACCTGTCACATATTGTTTTTCTCAGTTTGAGAAAATCTCTCAACTGTATAATTATTAAGATAACAGCATTTGTATAATGGTCAAGAGACCTTGAAAGTTTCCTTGTTTGTTGTTTTGCTATCAGAAGACATGCTCAAAACATTCTGATCTGAGTGAACTCTAGGGTCTTGTTCTTCATTCTTTTACACAAAATTGGGAAAGAGCCATGTGGGGCTTATCTATGTATAGTTACACTCAGTAATCCATTGATTTCTAGATTATGGATAGAAGCAACTAGATCTTTGTAAAAGGGAATGACTTTTGTTCTTTGTTTTAAGACATTAACCAAGTGTTTCGATAGCTTTTATAACCACAAATATAAAAAACAAGCGTTATTTACCTGGCATAACCTCAGATGTACATCTTATGAAAATTATATTGGGTTTTTGACTCTCGGGTCCATCAAGCACTGAATGTCTCTTGTGGGTTCAAAGCCTCATTTATCATTGTCATCAGAGTGAGCAGCCCCAGCCCATTCAGTTGACTATTATATATAATCTTAGAAAATGGGTCTTAGAGACCTGATTTTAGGAAAAGCAGTAACAAATGCTTTCAGATCTTATTTTAAAACCACTTTCTATCATTCGAGGAATAAAAGTAGTGGACACTTAGATTCTTAAAAAATTATCTCCATTTCCTACATTTCACTGAATATTTACAATGTTTTATTGTGACACAGTGGGAGGATATGAGTAAGTGGGGCTGCTCTGGCCTACTTAAAAACAATTGAAATGGAAAAAAAAAAAAAGGCCGTAATAATTCACTGCAATTTTTATCTTTTCCTGTGTCCCCCTGAAGAACACATGCATTGCTGACATCTTTGATGGGGAAACTGCTGTCTTGCCTAAAATGCATATCCACCTTAGTGATACTGTGAAGGTGAAGTTGAAATTCATCTAAAGAAATATGAATTGGAGTCAATATTCTGACAATCACTCCTACCTAAAGGCCTGGCTCAAGGTACTGTCAGATGAGCAAACAGCAGGGTTTGGTTCTTAAAAAAATATAGAATGATGGTTAATGTGAAACAGAATAGGAGCTACAATTCTCCGAGCCCTTACTATGTGCTTGGAGTTGGTTCTCAGAAAATACATAACCATACCAAAATAGGCAACCGTCTAAGCTTTGATCGCCTGAAATGGTTTTATGCCGATTTTGTGAGTTCTCCTAAAATTGGATTGTTCCAAGTAGATTAGCCTGCTACATGGACAAGGAAACCCAGAACTAATTTCCATTTTCTCCCAAATTTCGAGTAGGATATACTGTTCAGATCATTTTGCAGAGCAATCCTGGGGGTTTGATTTTGTCTTTCTGACCCTTTCAATGCAGATATCTATTGGCAACATACAGTTTCGAACAGTGCATCCGCAGCCAAAGAAAACCGAACCACTTTGCACTGAAGTTTTTCAAAAATATAAAAGCTCTAATCAGAAGCAAGCAACGTCACCACTGGACAGACAGGTCACAACACTGCAGTTACAGGATGCATCACCCACTCACTGTAGTAAGCCCTAAGTCCTACCCCTAAATTTTAATACTTTCGGTTCCATATACGTTGTAACCTTCTCTATAGGTTGCTAAATTCTGGGTATTCTGCGAGGAAGTTGGGTTAAAAGTCTGTGCACTCTTTGCCACCTTCATTCTCTTCGCCTCTGCCCTGGACTTGTAACAGAACTCTATCAAAGCCACCAGCATAGCCAAGCCCAAGCCGCCAACCAGAATGTAGAAGACGCCTGCTACGTTGCTCAGGCTCAAGGCGCTCGTCTTGTCCTGGGGGAGATAAAGACATCTCAGTTAACTGCGGAAATGTCACATCCAGGAGGCAAAAGAACACACGAAATCCAAACAGCTAATTAAAGCAAATGCCTAATGCAACCTGAAATTATTTACATGTATAAATCACTGATGGAGGTTTATGGATTTAAGCATAAAGCTTCCAACTCTCAGGAGAAGTGAAATTATGATGATTACCAATAAAACTGTGTGTAATTACATTCAATAAAATTTGTAACGTTTTATCATTATTAAATATGCAGTGAAAACCACTATACCTAGCCATATAAAAGCATTTATATATTTACACAGGGTGGCAGAAGTGGGCTTATTATTTAGGTTTGAAAATGGCATATTTAAAACCCAGTTACATGGGAAGGGGATGTCTTTTGGCTTTCCTGCTATTCCATATACTTTCAATGTTTGAAATTTCTCTTGTATAAATCTCACTTCACATTTCCTACTTAAGGAACTAAGTTTCGTTGGTTTTTTTAGCTAACAGTTTCACATTTTCTTCACTGTTGCTTTACCAAATATATGTAAATAATGTGCTAGGGTACACATTATTTTTTCTTTCAGTCATAGGTGTATGGGAGATCTTCCAGAAAGTGTCACTTTTACATATTATATACTATTTAGGAATAATTATGTATGCATCACATTTAGGTAACTTTTTAAAAATAACTTAAAAATATACAAATTACCATGGTTAATTGAGACATAAATTATTTTCATATGGACAAATTTATGATTATTTTTACTGATTTAAAAATAAGATTCCATTCCCAGTTAAAAATACTTAATCAGTTAATAGTTTAGACATATTATTCTCCAGAGCTTTAGCATACATATTATCTCATAATAAATTTGGAAATAGTCAAGCATATGATTGGAAAATACTAAAATTGTAACAAGACTTCAGAATTTTTTCATAAATTGGAAATACGTATATTACATAACAAGATTTGAGAGAGTATTTTGGATAGACTCCCTGTAGGATGCCCTGTGGCCATCATCTTCCCAGCTGTAGGTTTTGTGCAAAATGTGATCCAGACACTTAGTTTTATTAGCAGAGTATTGAATTCAAAAGATGTACTATGTACACTGTCCAATTAGCCATGACATTAGCTGATTGGGCCAAAATTTAGGGTCACTTCATTTTTAAAATCATCGCTCATTAAATATTTATGCTTCTCTGGCTTGACATAGGGATTTGAGATAAGTATTTCATTATTTGGCCAAGCTTGTCTCATTCCACTCTGGTTCAAAGGCAGGAAAAAACTGATTAAAACGTAGGGATAAGCCCAGAAAAGGTATCAAGTGACATTACTTGGTCTCATTCTTAAGTGAATGGAGACTCTCCTATTTAAGCCATTTATTTGTTTCATGTCTTAGAATAACTAATATTTTTTTTCTTTTAAAGAAGATAAAGAAAAAAAATAAAAGAAGATTTCAAGAATCCTCAACTCCTTTCGGGCACTCGTTACATTCTATGAATTTCCACAGGTAATTAGATTCACTGATACATTGTTACATTTTTTCCTTTAGAATGGAAACATAACTGTTTGTAACCCTTTTTATTTGTACTCAGTGGAATCAGGTCTCTGGATCTCTGCATTGCACCAAGAAGAATTCACGAATGAGAGATCTTAACTTGAGATATTATCCGTAAATGCTGATCTACTAAGAGCACTTCGGTAGAACCGAATCGGAAAGTCCACTGCGCATCCGTCAGCACAAAACTATAACTGGGCCTCTTCAAACTAAAGTGGAATGCTTGGCAACGTAGTGACAAAAGACTGAACTTCTGAATGCCACAGGGTGAATATTTAAGATCCTTCTCTGGATGGCTACCGGACAATTCCCCGCTTCTGTTTTGAGAAGGCATCAGCTCCTGAAACGACGGGTTTCGGGGCCTTCGCCTCCGAAACAAGCGCAACCCTAACCAAGAAGCGCTGCTCGCGCTAGTGCTATGTGAGTCTGAGGGTCACAGGAGGAATTTTATTAGTGTATGTGCTTCTGCGGATAATTTGAGTTGTAACCCAAGCCTGAGCAGTGCGGGTGCGGGCTGCAATTCTCTGAGAAGGCGGGTGAGTGGGTCTGCGCCCTGTGACAAACGCTCGCGGGCCCTGTGCGCACAAGACGAGGCCCCGGAGTGTGACGACTAACCTTGCTTCCGGAGTCCTTGGGTCCACATTCACCTTTATCGTACCACCACTTGTTTTTCAGCTTGTCTAAGACGCCTGCCTCACTGAGTTTCAAAACGGCAAGGTTTACAGGAGTTCTTCACGTGGAAAATAACATAAATAACATTATATATGTTATTTTATGTTATTCAAGTCAAACTACATTAGAATCGCAAGGCAAAGTGACAGAGCAGAGGCCACAGGAGGTGCTAAGTCTCGTGCGGGAGGCCCAGGTGGAGAACCAGACCTACGACTGGGGCCTGCTCCATCGCTTTAGGTAACAGGTGCATACTGCTAGGGAGGATCGTAAATAAAACGTATGCAATTACTGTGAACCCAAAACTATTGGCCTGGGTTCCATTGCTGGAGCGTTTACGAGGTTCCCAGCACAGCGGTGGAAGTCATTCGAGATCCACAAGCTCCTTGTGTTCCCCCCACTTTCGAAATGAATGGCAGTGGTTGCAGATGGACAGACTGGCATGCAGAGAAGCTGGCTCGGACCGGTTTGGGCTCTCCCCTACGCTGTGATTCAGCTGGTGTAATTTTACTCTCTGCTGTAAAAGTACGTTTACACGGACTCCTTAACCATGCTCATCCAGGACTAACTGGAAGAGAAGGAGGGTGCGGGAGTTACTGACAAAGGGTCCAGGAAGGTCCTTAGGAGACCGATATGTGAGTCATGAGAGGATAAGCCCATGCTGACACTCTCCTCAGTTGCGGAATTTAACCTGAATAATAGCACTATCTATCTATCTATCTATCTCGAGTCTATCACATTAATATGCTGTGCATACAAAGGTAAGTGACTCTAATGTACCCCACGGACGCTTCCTAGCAGGTACATGACAGGCTCGGGGAAACCGACATTTTTAGGAACAAACTCCCGTCCTATAAAATCCCACTTTTCTTTTCTACCATATTTGAGTCCTTCAGTACTTGATGTTATATAAGGAGTCTCAAGGAGGAAAAGGCCAGTCATCACTCAGTCTCAATGTTCTGAGGAATCGAAGAACTCCCCTGGTTTTCATTCCTACGTTAACACCTTTGTGTGTATAAAATAAAAGTCCGAGAGGATGGATGGGGAGCAGTAAGCCCTGACATCTCTTGTTACTGTTTCCGTGCTTGGTTGGTTTCTGTTTCTTTTTGCTTTTACAAATATTCGGAGAGAGACTCATTGAATTTCTCTTGACATTTCTAAGCTGCCACAATTATTTTGTCTGGCTCTCTCCCCCAACACCTCACTTCTTCTAGGAAATATTGAGTGCATTTGGAGAGACACAGCATGCATTGATTTGACTGCCAGGGGATTAATTCCATAAACCTATCTGCACATCTAGGCAATGCAGTAATAATAACGGTGATAATGCTAGTTAACCCTGACGGAACCCTTCCTAGGTACCAGGAGCTGTTGGAAGCATTTTATGTGTTTGGATACTATGATCACCTGCATTTTACAAATGAGGAAACCAAGGCACGGAGAGATTAAATCATCTAGCCACACAGCTAGGAAGTAGCTGAATCAGGGTTTGTAATAGTGTGACTTCAGCTTGTGCAATTAAAAGCACTCACAACGGAAGACTCGGGAAATGGGAGTTTCTGGTTAACTGAGTTTTCTGATTAGCCGTTAAGCCAAAAGTCTCTTTTTTGTTATGTTGTTGTACTGTTAGTTCTGAAAAAAGTTTCTAAGATATAAGTTTTTTAACTGTTTTCTCAATACGATTTAATTTTTTGTATCTATGTTGTAACGTCTTAACAAGGCTCATTGTTCCATTTAAGAAGTAATATGCATTTGCCACATTCCTAGAAAATTACATCGTGTTTTGGAACAAAATCTAATATGAGCATGATTTAACACTTTCTACTAAACACTGAGTTTGGGGATGGAGCAGGATGAAGATTTTGGTAAACTTTGGTGCTTGGTGAATCTGGTCCCAAATGTGGGTTTTACTATCTATACACCCCGACCCCCACTCATGAAGTGATTATTACAAAACCCTACCCCAGGTTGGTGGGTGAGTTGTGGACTGCTTGGGAACAAAAGCGGTATCTCATTCATCTTTGTAGGACAGTATTTACCAGGGTATCTGACTCAGAGTAGGTGCTCTGCAAGGTTGCTGTATTTAAATTATTTTGAACCCAGAGCAAGCTTTTTCATTTAACTGATACTATAAGAGTTTTGAGGTCCCCAGGCTGCTCACCAAAGCCTTTTTAACACCTACACAGGTGTATTATACGAGCCTACACTGCACTTCTTGAATGGGGTGCTCTGGGAGGAGGACTTCATGCTGAAAAGGGAAGGAAAAAGAAAGCAGAGTTTCCTTCCAGTTTCTTCTAGAAGGGATGTCCTTAAGGTCCCCACTTTGCCCTTCTCCCTTCACTTCTCCCCTTGCCTCTTTGGTCCTTCTGCTAGTCACGGCAAGACCCTGGTTTTAGAGGCCATAAGTAGATTGGAATTTTGAATTTAAGATATTTATTAGGAGCCAAACTTAATGGTTATCTGGTGGAGTTATCAGGCACTGAGCAAGGAATTCATTATTGGGCAATCGCTGGCTTTTGTTTACCACAACTTTTCTTTCTGCTTATGAATTCATATTTTTGCTAACAATCCCTTTACTCGTGTGTTGGTTTCTATGGCTATGGTGAAGGAGAGGAGGCCACTTATGACGTGCTTTAAAGCCAGGACTGGCTACCGTCTTCAAAGGGCTAAATTAAAAATGGGTATCTTGTGATCTAATATAGTTCCTAAAGAAGACGTTATTTGGTAATCACATTTACAAAACGATTTTTATATGAATATCCACATTCGTGAGGGTGCCTGTTTTTATATACATAGAGGAGAATAGGGTATAAAACAAACAAAAAGTCAATAATTTTATAGATCATTAATGATTACAGGCGTTGCCAAAATTTCCAACTAGAACCAGGACTGAATAACTCACGTTAAAAACTGGCATAAAATTCTGTGTATGGTTTGTGCTCAGACTAAACTGTATCAGATTCATCAGAGAGGAAAATGAGTTTGAGACATTGCAATGATATTTTTAAATTGGCTCATTGCCAATTAGTAAACTTTTATTGCTTTATTCACAAGTATGAATTTCTTATGATCATAGATTAGACCACATTGCACTAATATTATTAAAGAAGTAAATTTTCCAAAAAATGGATTTGCATCCTCCAAATCCTGCCTTTCTACTTTATTATTATTTTTTAAGATGCAGGACCCTTTTTCTTACTTCTTTCCTTAAATTTTTACATTTCAGCATGAAGCCTTGGTTGAGGGCGACCGGGTCAGAATGTCATGCTCTGGGAATGGCTCTCAGGTAAGTGGGGATGCTAATTATTTTGTAGCCATGGGCTGTGACTGGAAGCTACCACAGTCATCATGAGCTCCTTGAGAGAAAAGAAAATTCTTTTTCCCCACCAATATGGCACGTTGCCTGCTGAAAGCAGAAATTTAATAATTTGCTGCTGAATGGAAGGCTGGAGATGTCCCCCCGGGGTTATAATCCTGTGAATGGCAGGTGGGTCACCTGTCTCCTCAAAGGAACCCATTCATTGGGGGCGGGGGTGGGGTGGGGTGGAGGTCGAGCTTTCCACGATTTTCTGCCTTCATTAGGTGAATCACTACTAGAAAACTGAGTTTTCTCCTATCAAGGGTCTGTACTGGAAAGACAACATTAGATTTCAGCATGCCTGGGTTGGGGCCTCTGAATGTGCATATTCCACCCCCTACACGGAATTGGCATCATTTAATTTCTCTCCTGCCTTGGCCCGATACTCAGCAAAGGCTTAAAAACTAGCTTCTTCTCCAGCTGAGCCTTCTCCTTATCTTACCTCTTCTGAGGAAGATCAAGCCCCACGGGAGGGGTGAGGTAACTCTAAAAAGAAAACCAGTCACCCGTAGAAGGTACAAAACAAAAATGAAACAGCAACAGCTTCCTGGTGCTTTACTTTGACCTAAGTTGGGTCAGGGCAGGTAGAACACAGCTCTTACTACAAATCCAGAGTAGGCGTCATTAACATTTAGACTGTTACCACCTATTTGCTTGGTGATATATACCGTATCAGTAAGCGACCTCCAAGGAGTGTTTTCTAGTACGAAAACAACATTTCTGAGGGAAAACAACATACTGTGACATCATTTGGGGGGAATATTTTAAGTTGATTTTTGTAACATTTTGTGAAGATCTGAAGTAACGTTTTAGAACATATCACTTTGTAGCTCATGTTTGGTGAAAGTAAGTTACTGCATACCAGGGACCAACAGTTTGACTTTTGAGCACTACAAGGTTAGATTTACGTATATTTTTTGACAACAAATATTTATTTAGTGTCCACTGTGTACCAAACAATCTGAGCTGTCCAACCCCTTAGTGAAATAAACTGAAGTGACTTTTCTCAAATAGATTTTTCCATTATGCGTACGTTTCTGCTCTGCTTATTTTTCTCTGGAAAGATGTTTTAATGGACGCTAAAAGAGGAGTTTGTTATTCATTTTTCTGGAAAGTTTTATTGGTTAAGCAGTGTTGTACTTCTCTTATATCGGTGAGAAAAATAAACATTCAAGAGCAAAATTTTGCTAATGGACTAGAAAATTTTTGCTTTTCTTTGGTGCTATTAGAGCATGTTTTCTTATATTTCTAATTTGCATGGAAAATAGTAGATTAGTGTAAATTTAAATAATTTTCTCTGCATAGAAAAATGTATTTATTTACTTACGTTTTTATGGAAACTGTCAGAATATTCTAGGCAAGTTAGGGTGCCAAAATATAAAAAGAGTTAATACTCCTTAAGTAAACATGTGGCTGGTGTCTCAAATGGAGGGGTCTTGAAGGGGAACCATCCCAGAGGAATCCCCCAAGATTCCACCCTCTCTCTGCTCTTTCTCTCCAGAATGATTCTTTTCCAGGACCTGGGGTGGGGGATCAGGATTGGGTCCACATGATTCCATTGTCTCCTCCTTTGTCCTGTCTCTCCCTGGCTAGAATATTCCCTTGGCAAAGTTTATCCTCCTCTTCCTGCAACAGGGCTGGTAATTAGAGGGGCACAAAGGAGCTGCATTTGAAAGTCTTTTAAGATGGAAAGAGGGGGAAGTTAGCGCCATTGGAAAAGAATGAGTTTAGCCTCCATCCCGAGTACTCTCAGAGAACAGAGCACCATTCTGTGGGTTGGGTGGCCAAGTAAGGGAATTTACAGCCTAATCAAGAAACGGAAGACAAGCAGTTTTGGGCAATTCTCTAGATTTTAAAAGAAAGACAAGAGCGCATACTTAAAAATTTTCAATACTCTTCCATGCCAGGTGGAAGGTATGAAAGAAAATTCAGTGAGGATATTCCCATGTCTGGATTGTTTTAGGTCTATACACAGTGAAGAAGGGTTCTGGGACACCAGTTGATTATTTCTGTTAATTGTATACATTTTTTTCCTTTAGAAACTCCTTAGAAAAAAACCCCCACCTTATTTTATGAAGCTGGAAACATGACATGGATGTAGTGAGCACAGAGCTGAACGGGTCTTGCTTTTGAAGCCGATCATTCTGTGATTTGATCCATTTACGGAAGGCAAAAAATGTCTAGTTCACAAGACTATCGCTGATTTATTATTTAACTTGATATGCAACGGAAGCCTGAGGGTTCTGGGTAGAGACACGGCTTTCTGGAAGGTACTCGAAACAGGTCCAGGTGGAGTCAAGTCATCGCTGTTACTTAAAAACGCTTTGTGGGTGGTCTCGCCACGCATGGGTGAACCAAAGGGGACAGACTTCCCCTCGGTGTCCGCCCTCCTCGTCACTAAATTGCCCTTTCAAAAGCTTGGATCCTTTCCTGCTTTCAACAAGGGGGTTCGTAGGACTACAAGGTCTGACCCACGACCTCTTTGAAGCCAGAGGGGTTCAGGGACTGTTGTAATGAGGTCTGTTTGCATGTCCCTCAATTGGTTAACGGTTGCAAATATTTTTGCTTTGACAGTAATTGCATACTTGGGTTTCGAAGGGACTGGACTGGCAATTCTGGGGGTGGCTGGCGGGGGCGTCCAAGCTGCGTCTCCCAGCAGATGCACCTATTACTATACATACTGTTTACCCGCTTTTGGTGACATTGAGGCTGACCTTGGAGTCACCTCCCCCGCTGCCACATTCTCCTTTGTCGTACCACCATTTGTTTTTCAATTTGTCCAAGAGGCCTTGTTCATTCAGTTTTAAAACTGCGAGGTTAACAGCATTTCTTGAAACGATAAAACATATTTTGTAAGAAACTGCACAGCTGTTAAGATGTTAGAAGGAATGAGGACTTAAGCTCTTTTATAAGCTTCTCCCAGGCGCTAAATAAACCTCTCATTTTGCGGTCCTGCAGCCCCTTCCACCAGAGTCCAAACCAAAGGCAATCGTGACTAATTTCAAAGGGTGTGAAACGTGGTATTTGGTGCTGCTCGCTCTCAGAGTTCATTTACTGTCAAATAAACGGACGCTGTTTTCAACCAATGACATGGATTTTTTTTTCTTTTGCAAAACAGCAATAAACTTGCATTTACTAGTAATTGAGGAAGAACTGTGCCTTGAGTTCCTTTGCCTCTAAGAATGTCAACAGCCGAAAAGAGACCCAAATGAAAACTCGTTCCCAGAAGGAAACACGGAACGGCATTGCCAGAGCGAGAAAGCAGCTGTTCATTCATTTTTGTGAACGGATTTCCTGACAACAAAGAGTACGGCTTAATTATGGTTCCCTTTACTGTTTGTGGGAGTTAGGTTTGCTCACTTGTTTGATTTCATTGGTCTCAGAATCTAGGATTGGCATGTTTGGTTCAGTGTCCCTGGCTAGAAGTCACAGGATAGTCAAGAGAAAGGGAGTGCCAGCCCTCAGGGAAAAGGTCTTATATTTGGAATTTGGTGTTGATTCTTGAAGGCTTTGGATGCTATTTAGAAACTAAGATGGCTCGGCCAATTCCACTGCGGAAGTTAAGTAATTAAACCCCAGGGACACCCCAGTAATTAAACACCCCAGATCCGATTGCCTCCATGTATATCTCTATCGGGGAATAAGGGAGCAGATTCTAATGAATGTCTAAAAGGATTAAAAATGTGTCATGGGCTTTTGCCTGCCAGGTATTTGGTTTCTTACTTGCTTTCAAGTTAGTTTTTAAATGAGCCATTATCTCTTTCAAGAGGTCTTCCCAGCATTTCATGAAATCTCTGTTAGAGTGAGGGAGTGGCTTCTATACCAAGAATTTGGGCTAGGCACCTTGATGAATACTGAGTTTGGTGGTTACTTAATGCCAAATGAGTTATAAATAAAACAAAACAAAATAACCCCATATTAATGAATAGCACTTGAAAACTGATTTGCAAGTGAAATAGTTGTTGACTAGTAAAAAGTGTTACATATTTCACCACCAATCAGCCTATTGAAGTGTTTTTCTTAAAATGTGTTTATCATATTTCACGTAAACAATGTTCATTTTCCAGTGTTGTGATAGTCTGATCCACTTGGAGAATAAACATGTCCCACGAGTAAGCCATACACTTTGAGAGTATTAACTCTTCTTGAGACTTAGACAGCCATTTACAAAATGCTAATTAAATAATCAGCTGCTCCCACCTTCCCAAGTGCCACATTAGTGGCCTAAAATAATGAATATACTTCCCAAAGTGAACAATATCAGGTGGTTGGTTTAATCAGCAAAAGGATCAGACTGAAATGCAAGAATGAATGAATATTCAGTGAAGAGAGACCTATTTAAAAAAAAAATGCTGTTGGGAGAAAGTTGTTTTAATTTATTTTGTGTCCACAACAAACTAAATTTGTCTTTCAATGATTTAAACCGAACTAAAATTTTTTATTTTGGAGAAAACTATTTTTATACTCTATTTTGGCCTGAAACATTCATAGTAGATCCGTTTTAATGAGGTGGCATCCCAATAATTTTATGTGTTAGTTTAGACCGTTCCTTTGATAAAACCGAGATCATTTCATGAGAGGGTTATTTAACAGGGGTATTAGCCAAAGACAGTCCCACAGCACAGGAGAAAACAAAAAGCAAAACAAAGGAATGGATAAGGAAAAAAAGCTTCACGTTGAGAAAATTGTTTGGAATAAAGCTTCCTACAAAATTATTCTAAGACATTGTCTTTCTAAGACCATCTAATAGGCCATGTAAAAACAGTTTAGTTTCACACTGCTATTCACATGTGTGTGTGTATACATCAATATTTGGTTCGTACGATACACTTGACCAGTAGGTAAGTCACTGCCCAGGTCACAGTTAATCCACGTTTTCCTTCCAGAAACATGTGGCCCCTTGATAAAGTCCCCCTAATAATATTATACGCACGTTAATTTTTCTCTTATGATGCATGGAAGGCACCTTGTAATTAATATTCAGAAAGAGTCTTCAGGTACTCACGATTTCTCTGCATGTGAAAACTGCTTGTTTTCTACAACTCTCTGACTACAGATGTTATTTCTGTAATCAGGTCTAGCAGCCTCTGTAGATTGCCATTTCAACTGCAGCATAAGCCACATTTGAACATCTGTCCTATTTTATGAAACACATTACTTTTACATGTTATTAATTGTAAGAATCATCAAGTGACTTAAGAAAATACATAAAGTTACTTCACTCATTTTGCTGGAATATTTTTTACCTAGGCAAGAGAAAAAGGAACCCTGAAAGAGGAATTGGAAGCAAGCTTAGGGAAGTCACAAGTAGTGGGGGGTAAACGAGGGACTTGGGAAGCAGACCTTCCATCACGTTTTACTGTTCCTTTGCAATCCCCTTCGTACACTTCAGACAGAGATTTCAAAGTCAATGTCAGAAACGCAGATTAATGATCAGGGATATTATGGTCCTGAAGTAGTGGTCAGCCAAGAAGATGAGCGATAGAAGAAAAACGTGCGCTATTGCTTACACTGATTGTTCCCTTTATTCTATAAAAGGCACCTTTTACAGATAAACTCAACCAAGTGGATTGTTTTCATTTAAAAACGGAAGAGGAGAGGAAGAAAGAGTCAGTGACCACACTCTTGCTGGACGTGTGTAGACCACAATTAAGAGCCCAGGTGTGGCGCGAGCCAAGCTACTCATGCTGTTTGACAAAGTCCAAGTATGGGGGATGATCCTGAAAACAGGAGACTCCACAGCTGGCTCCTGCTATTCTCTTTCATTTTGTTTATGGCAATCTTTATAATTGTGGGAATATTTCTGGGGTTTCATGATAAAGTGACTACTCATCTTAGTTACGCCTATCTAAGCAATCATAATGAAACTAATTCCATGAAGAATTAGTTTCTATAGAACAAAATAACAAGACGGTCACGCTCTGTCTAGCTCCTTTCTCTTTGCATACTGTTTTTCAGTTTTAGCGAAAGCCAGTAAGCAGAAATCAATAAAGGTCATGTTAATCATTACAAAGGAAAAATGAAAGAAGGCTATGGCTATAATCCAGAAAATGATCTAAGATTTGGAAAAACAAAAATATCCTAACATATAAAGAAAGTTCCTCCGAGGCTGTCAGGAGGAGATGCTTGCAACCTGACCCTGTGTGTGTCTCCTCATTTGCGACGCCGTCCTTTCCTACGAGAGACCCACCCCGGCTGGAGCTGGACTACGGCAGGTGTGTTGACAATGACCTTTTAAAGAGTGAAGTAAGAAAAAACCTTATCCAAGTAGGCATTTTAATAGTAGTGAGATGGTGGGGCACTTGATGCAGGGTGGAAGGAAAATGTTCCTCGAATCAAATTCCAGGACCTCAAGAAAACTGCTCAAGGCTTTTATTCCTGAAATTTCCTTCAACTGAGCTTGAGATTATGAAAATCCGTACACCTCATTGCGCTAGCTTCTGGGACCCATTTTTGTTAATGAGACTCTTGTTGAAAGACCATATACAACAGAAGCCTGAGAACGAGAATTAACAGACCTAAACTTCTCCCATTTATTGATATTGGGTGAATTCATCAAGTGTGGAGATTTTCTTGTTCAAAGCATCTTAACTCAGGCTAAGATACCCATCTCTTACCTCCCATACTTTCATAAATAATTTATCATTCTATATGTTTGGGTATGCTTTTATGCTTAATTTATGCCTTACTCATTATATTTACTTCTGGACCATATTACTTGTAATGTAATTCTTCTGTTGGTGAGGTTTTAAAATGCACATCTGACAAAATATCTACCTAATAGGAACATTTTAAAAGTTTAAGTTTAGTCAAGTATTTTTATGGTTTCCTGGATTTAAGAATATTATTATAAAGGACTGATATACTGGCCCCTAGACTTAGTCAACATCTGCACACAGGATATTTAGGGTGTATGTAGTTTGTAGAACAAATAATTTGCAATATCATATTTAGTCTGATTAAAACAAACTCAATTCCATTTTACTTAATCGGATGAATATTTCATTGTTGGCGGTGATGGCGCGGTTTATTCTAACGTACGGTGAGATTTTTGCTACTGCTCTAGTGTCCTTATGGGAAAGGATCCGTTAGTTATACACACACGAGAAAGTCTCATCACTTTTAGGCCTGTGCTCTCTTAATGGGAATCCTCTCTTCATACTAAACTCTCTCTCTCTAAAGATTTTATTTTTAAGTAATCTCTACACCCAATGTGAGGCTCGAACTTACAACCCTGAGATCAACAGTCACAAGCTCTACAGACCGAGCCAGCCAGGCGCCCCTAAACTCTATAAAATTTAAGTATCATGAAGTTCAAATGTCCAGAATATTTACCTGAATGATGCTAGGAAATTTTTTTCATAGTCCCCAATAAATCTTAGTATGTTTTTTAAAAACTTAAAAATTGTGTGAATCCACAAGGCATTGTGTCAACAGGTAAGAAAGTCCCTTTAAAATCCACAAAGGGTGTTGGTAGACGATTTACACAGGGAGATCATACAAATCGTACAAAAATCATTCAACTTGGCTTGGAATTAATGTGAATTAAAATGATGCCAATTCAATTCTCTGCCACTCATGTTAGGAAAGACAAAAGTAAAGATACTGTGTAATATAATCAAGGGCCGAATAAGATGGGCGTCCTCATCCACTGGTGATTGAATTAGGAACTAAAAAAGAAATAAGATGACTTTACACAACAAAAGCTTAAACACAATTCTTGTTCTTGGAAATTACTGATAATGTTGATAATTATATTAATTGACTAAATATTACTGGTTAATAATAATTCTCCTTTGAGGAACCAATTCTAATAAAGTTAATCAATGATGCTGATGAGAGTAACTGAATGAACCTCATAGTATATTTCTGTAGCAAACATGGCAAGCAATTCATATGCCCACCAGAAGAGGAGAATGAAGTAGATGTGGGGAGACCCAGCAGCAGTTCTCAAGCTTGATTTGAGTAGAGAGCCACCAACAGAAATACAGATGCTCAGGCCTAACACTGCTGGGTCAGGTCCCTCTGAGTCAGGGGCACTGTGTCTACATCTTTACAAAGCTCCTCAGGTGATGGTATTGATAAGCACCCATAACTTCTATGGCTGAACGTTTTATGACCATTTGAAGCTTTTAACAACAAGGAAAAATGATTATAGTATAATGTTAAGTGGAAAAAAAGAAACAAATTTGTATATTCCCTATGATTTTAATTTAAGAATAAAAAATATATATTGAGAGAGACAGAGACATTAATGGAAAAATATTGGGAAAAAAACACAACAAAGAGCTGTCTCTGAACGTAGGGATTATGATTAGTTTGGACTGCATTTTGCTTTTTACGCTTCCCCACCCATCCAGAATTTTCTACTCTGATACTTTAATAATCAGTAAATACAAACAAAAAAAGCCTCGATTATTTTATAATTTTATATTATTTTATAATATAATGCCTAAAAGAACTGTTTTATGCAAACCAACATATACATTTTATTTTGGATCCAAAAAACCCCCAAAAAACAAAGAAATGAGGAAGAGGTAGAATTTAGGAATTGCTCTTAAGGATGTCAGTAAAGCATTCATTGCTCCTGATGATGTGATTTGCTTTGGTCCACCTGGTTCTGGGTCTCTAGCCACAGACTGGAGGACAGGGGATGATGAACTTGGCTTCTACAAAGGTTCTGCCTTGTTTGAGGGGAACAGGTCAGGCAGAGAAGGATGAGTAATCCATCAATTAGTGGGCCTCCCCCGTCAGACAGGATCTACAGGAGGTTAATAGAACTCTCAGTGGCCTGGAGAAAAGACTCTCGCTGTTTCACGCATATTTACATAGACAAGGTGAGCTTTTCCCTTAGGCTGAATTAAATGAATGTGATGGTGCGTAGACTTGAGTCCTGCAAAGTGGGCCATTAAAAAAAAAATATGTATATACCTCTGTTTTTAGGAAAAGAATTTTCAGAGCTGACAACTACGTTCTTCCCCAAACAAGTAGTAGAGACCCTAAGAAAAAAGCCATTTTCATTTTTTTTTTCAGGAATTAAAAAAAATGCCATTAAAAAAGTCTTTCATCACACCACATCTTTACTGTATCTCTTTTTTGCATTTAAACTAAAACTCCAGATTGGAAAACTCATTTGATTTAAACTTTGTTATGCAGCAGGTAAGTGCATGCAGAAAATTTCTAGGACCACTCTCGTAAGAAAATAGTAATTTCATGAAAAATGAATAATTTTTCACAGACTATTGCACAGACTATTGGTTCTCTTATTTAAGCGATGGTGGCAATTGTCACTACTGTCATGAGGGTTGAATACAGGAAAGTCTACCCCAGTAGAGCAAGAGGAGATGGGGAGGGAGGAGCATGGGACCTATGGGGTTTTACTTTTGCCATTTAATTAATGATGTCCCCCCAAATAAAAGTGTTCGGAGGAAATCAGCCATGAAACTGAGAATTTACAACAACCCCAGATTTTTGTACCAAGTCTATGAATAACTCACTGAGAAAGAACTAGTTTATCAATCAAGAAAATACAGTAAGTAAATAAAAATCAATAGGCTGTCAAATGATAAGGAGGTGAGAATCTGATCTTAAGGAAAGGCGTTTGCGTCCACAGTTCTACCCTTGATCAACTGCGTAAGGCCTGGATTCTCGGCATTATAAATGCTCCACTAAGTTTTCAATTTAACTTGCAGCTGTGCTATTAGTTTTCTTCCCAAATTATCCCTTCCAGTAAACAAGCACAAGGCTCTTTTGCTTCATTGGATTTGTGCACTTCTTTCCAGAGACAGGATTTGGGCTAAATTGCTCTGCATATATGTGCAAATGTTTTTAGAAAAGATACTAAGTTTTAATTCCAGTTGGCTTACACAATGACAGGTAAGATTTGCATAAAAATGGCACTGCCAATCAATAATTTGATATCAAAATTAGGAGGGAAAATTTTTTTCAGTGGAAAGACAATTCAGACCCTACATGATGTATAATGAGCCTTTGAAAACCACTTTGATAAGGAAGGATTTATTGGCTTTGTTTTGGATTTTGGATGGCATATATGCAATTAATTTAGTGTATAGAGTCCTTTGCAGCATTTCATACTCCAAGTAAGTCAAAGACAACTAAATAAATTACGTAGATACTGGGTTAGATTCCAAAAATGGTCTCTAAAGTGTGTGTTTTTTGAAGATTTTATTTATTTATTTGAGAGAGGGAGAGAGAGAGCGTGAGCAGGGTGAGCAGCAGAGGGAGAGGGAGAAGCAGGCTCCCCGCTGAGCAGGGAGCCCGATGCGGGACTCGATCTCAGGACCCTGGGATCAAGACCTGAGCCAAAGCAGATGCTTAGCCGACTGAGCCACGCAAGTGCCCCTAACGTGTGTGTTCCTTGGAATTTGCATGACTAATTGCTATTTGAGGCCTAGGTCTGAGGAATGTGATTTTTGAAGAAATACTGTGATTTTTGTGAGGATGTCTGCCAGTAATTTAGAGTACTAGCTGGAGATTGTGATAAATGAAAAATTTAACTATACTTTTAGTGTTAAACTTTTTTTTTTAAATGTAATCCTTACAAATTTCATGCAGTTTAGTTTCATGATTTTGTCAATTTTAGGTCACAGAGTAGAATTTTCTATCCTCCTTTGGGTAGGGATCTCTTTTAGAAGCCCGTGAAAGCTACAGATAGACAGACTGGCATAATGACTTCAGGAGATCCACAAAATTTGGAAAGGGAATCGTGAATACAGATAAAAAATATCTCTTCCAGATTCTAGTAACACTTATTTTAAAATTAATTAATGGCCACTTTCAAGTATGTCTATTAAAGGAAGGGAAATAAAAATATTTCTATGACCCATGGTTGCTCCAGAATTTTAAGAGAGAGGAGGTTTTAAGACTGTGGTTTGGTGGTAAGGAACTTGCAAGGTACGAGCCTCAATTTGTGATCATTCTGCAAACACAGCATGGGCGGGGCTTTTTAAAAAAATTTTTTTAAGTAGACTCCACACCCAGTGTGGAGCCCCGTACAGGGCTTGAACTCACGACCCTGAGCTCAAGAGCTGAACTGAGATCAAGAGTCAGACGCTTAACTTAACCGAATGAGCCATTGAGGCGCCCCCATGTGCAGGGCTTCTTAGAAGACTGCATGTGACATTAATAAAAATTAAAAATAAAAACTGCTCAAAGACACTTTTGGTTACCCTTAGATAATATTGGGAAAATATCAATTATTCGTATTAAATCATGTACATTTTATTTGACTTGTGGTGCCCTGGGGTGCTGTTTGAGATGATATGGGCTCAAGTCCCCACGCCAAGCCACCCTGTTTTTATGAGCAGTTTCTGTGATGGAATCATACAACATGGGGCTTTGTTTCAAGTCGCTACCTACAGACTGTGAAGTGCTTCCAGTTCTCTCTGAATCTCACTTGTTCATGGATTGTCATTAAGCTAAAGTACGATTTCAGAAGTCGCAGAGCTGGTGGCTGTCACTGTTTACTGCGTGTGAGCTGTCGAGCAGCACTGGGATTTCCTCACAGATTTGCTGGGTGTCTCTGCTCTGTCCCTGACTCCTCCGGATTCCTTCTCCTAGGCCACGCTCCTTATTCTCTTTATAGGATTTCCAGAATGCCCAACAACCGAGTTTCCTGGGGCGCCTGGGTGGCTCAGTCGTTAAGCGTCTGCCTTCGGCTCA